AAGAAAGGCCTGGTGATCTACTTCTAAAAAATCAGCCAATGAAAACCCTGTTGTGCGTGAGGATTCCATGAGTCAAGGGCAACTTGACAGCAGCTAACAATAACAACATTTTGAATAAATATTAGAACACTGCATTTAAATGATGAGGACTACAATATTACTAACAGTAGAAATGATCTATTTTGTCAGTGGATTCGGTATTAGTAGGAATGTCTGATTATCATGCAGGCTACTTGCTTCCCGAATTTACATACTGCTCATATTTACAACTTATTCTCCTTAAAGACTGCAAATGGAAGAATGAGATCATATATTCACCAATTAGATAAGAACACAAGGAACACAATTTCTTCATTTTTCTCCCCTTGCCACCTTTTCACTATAATCTTAGACATAAATCCTTGTGTGCCACCAAGATAATGATAACAAAAATTTCATATAAATTTCAATTTACGTTTTCTAACTTCTGTAATCACTTCTGTACTTGATGTCTTTGTAATGAATAACGACTTATATGAAAGCTATTTTTATTCTATTTTCTACAAATTGATGTTTTTGTTATACTGTGAGGTGGAGGTCTGTGATCTTTTCATTCTTTTTCACTAATTTGATGATCCTCAGGGGGAAAAATATGGTTCAGCGCAAGAGGAGAGGAATTCAATTGGGTTTTTACACTCTCTTCAGAGACAGATTTAAAAAAAATGATATTCTCTCTAACTTTTCTAGTTAAGTCTAAGTACTAAACGAATGTTTAAAAAGTTCACATTTTCCTAAATATCTGCATGATAGTCCTTCAATGGACACATATCAGGTACCGAGTTAGGCTCCGAGGATAGACATATATAAAGGATAGTTTGTACCTTGAAGAAGCTACTCCTGGTGGGTTTCACAGATACATTAAACAGGAAAAAGTTGAAAGGAATTGAGGTCTAAGGTTCTAAGTGATTATGAAGGATAAACAGCTTTTGGTCCAGAATTTGCATAGGTTAGAGGCTTTTGAAATATCCAACTGATTAATCATTTTTGGAAATTTCAAGTGCTTTTTATTTTTTAATTTTTAGTAACGCTGTTCTGAATGGAATATAACCATAATGACTAGGGACAAGGTGGGAGAGATCCACATAGAATCTCCAAGAATTTCTCTCTCTTTCTTCTTTTGGTCCCTCCTTCCCCTCTTTCCTGCCATGGTTTTTTGAGTATTCACTAAGGTGCCAGATTCTGGTTTGAGCCAGGAGAAGAAAGTTTCACAAAGCATTGTCCCTGAGGTAAATAAGGGTATTTGTTTACAATTATTTTTTTCCTCTCTCTCTCTCCAAGGCTCTGAGTGCAGTACACTCCCCACACCACTGACTTTGGGTTTGCCCTTGGCTAGAGCCTAGGTATGACTTATGAATGAGGACAGACGTCACTGTGTGCCATCTCTGGGCAAAAGCTTTGCCATGTTTCTGCTCGCCTTCTTGTTTTCCTGCACTCCTTCATGGAAAGAGCATGCTACGGAGTGCCTGCAGTTCCAGAAAGAGGACACACAGGGAGCAGACCTGAACCTACTCCATAGCCTACATCCAAGCCCTCCCTAACTCAGCCAGTCTCAGACACACCCAGAAGAC